TCCTGACAATTTGTCCAAAGTATGAGAGACGAAGTCTGGTCATTCTGACTTCTAAGGAGCATTCTAACTGTACTCCTTCAAACACAAATTTGTTGTGTCTTTTGGCATGTTAGGTCTTATTATGAGATTTGGACTTGTATTTTTGGAGGTTTGGAGGATGATTCAAAGGAACAGGCTTTGCTCTGGATTGGATTCTTTCAGGAAGTTGTAGTAATTCTGTGATTATCTTAATAATTCTTATCTAGAAGGTAAGACCATAACAAGAAAGGCAGCAGTTCTTCCCATTAGCCAGTATATGGGATGTTTGGACATTGTGGTGATTTGGACAATATTAATGTTTTCATCTGCATTCAGAAATGGGATATGGCAGTCTTAGTTTTGTCTTGATCCATCAGGCCTTGTCTGGTTGGTGGTCTATGACTTCGTTTATGTCTAGTAGCAGAACACCAAAGCCTAGCTGTGAGCTACAGGCCAGTTTACAGCTGTCTACAGTTGCTTTTCTCTTTCTCAGTGCTGAAGTGTATGGATGTAATAAAATACAGTCTGTGCTTCTCTTCAAAACCATTAAGAGCAGGTAGACCAAACAGAATTAATCATGAGTTGATAATCATAAAACTGGGTGATACTTTCATTGAGACTCATATGCTGTCCTCTCTACTATTATGTATGAAATTATCCAAAATATAAAATAATGGGCAAAACAAGCCATCAGACAATAATGTTTGGTCATAGGAGCTGGAACAGTTTTAATCTTTCTATGTCGGTATAAGAGAGAGCCAGTACAAGGGAACTTGTGGTCAGCCCACTCATCACTCATTGTGAGGCGCCTCTGCTTCCTCACACACAGATCAGCGTAGCTGCATAGGCAACCAGAGCCTCAAGTAGGGAAGTACTCCAAAAATGCAGTGTCCCTACCACCTCAACCCACAAAACTGTTGCTGGAAGACCACTGAGTTAGCATCAGGTGATATTAACAAGGGCTATATGTTTTGTTGTTTGTTTTCCAGAATGTCCTTCACCCACATTGTCCTCAGAAACCAGTGTGGCCACAAAGGGTCAAAATGTATCTCTGATATGCTCCATCAAACCAATATCTCAAAGAGCCAAATATTCTTTGTTTCTGCATGAGAAACAGGTGAAAAGTGAAGATGCACAAAGTGAATTCATGATTTTTAACATAAGCATCTCAAAAGCTAATGATTTGGGCCCCTACAAAAGCAAAGTCCACATTAAGAACTGCTCAAATGTCAAATACAGTGGTTCGGACTTCACAATTTGTAGGTAAATAGAACACTTGTTATTTGGAGCCCCTGTGGTTTGTGGGATCTCCATACCCCTAGGAGCACTCACTCAAGAATTGGAGAGTGTGTCACTAAGATAATCATTCTTTTTTTTTTTTTGCTTTCTCTTTGAAAGATTTGTTTATTATTTAAGACGATAGACTAATTGCCTTGGAAATAAGTCTTATATCTCAACAATTTAGAAAACTATTGAGGTCTTTTCTGGGTCCTTTCCTGAAGGACTAGCAAGAAGGATCTGAGGAAATGCCTTGTGATCTTTCATCATTATGAATATGATTTGAGTAATTCTTGAAAGTTACAAGAAGTAGATTTCAGTTCCTTAGAAAAGATGTTATGTGGGTACAGAATATCTACCCAACATTAACGATCTCATTTCCCCAAACCAAGCTGCTCTCTGAGCCCTGAGTGTCATTCTGTTGGGTCACAGTAATTTCTGCTCATGGGAGGGATTTGGCCAGGAGACCTTCAATCCTTTTCTAAGATTTGTTACTTATACTTTAGCCCCTTTATTTTATAGCTTCTGTCCAACTAATTTTTTTTTTTTTTTTTTTAAAGAGTGGGCTTTAAAGTTAGTTCTGGCTCTGCCAGTTACTAGTTAAGTAACCTTGGGTAAGTTACTTGAAGCCCAATTGGCTCCTGTGTGGAATGAGCATGATACTACTACCTACCACGTGGAACCACTGAACAGGTGAAATGAGATGGTAACTTGGCTAGCATGTCTGGCATATGATACTCAACAACTATCCTTCCTTCTTTGTAAGATCAGATTGCTGATTCTCTCTCGAATTAGGGTCTAACCCACTAGACTCTCAGATTTCCTGTTGAGACTTTTTCTTGAGTCTATTTATCAGAGTTACTTCCTGAGCTTTTGGAAGAAGTAAAAGATAAGTATATAACTGCACTGTAGAGATAAAAATACAGTTAGAGAAAATGATATTTCTGGCCTTCTTCAGTTTTATAAAAACCTCATTATATCTTATATTGTTGGTGTTAAGCGCCGCTGAGTCGGTTCCAACTCATAGTGACCCTGCATGGGGTTTTCAAGGAGTGGCTGGTAGGTTTGAACTGCTAATTTGGGGTTAGCAATCCAGTGCTTATCCTACAGTGTCACACCAAGATTCCTTAACCTTATAAGGACTGAGAATTAAAGTACCTTGCAATTTATACTTGGAAGTGGATCTTGGATAAGAGCTGCTCAGACCAACAAGAAGCAGAGAGTGGATTCTGATGAAAGACATGCTTGTGCCCTGATGCCTCAAAGCAGAAAGATGCCCTCCACCCTCTGGGCTGATTCTGCATCCAGCTCATGTCACACTGTATGGGGGCAGCCACATAGCTGCCTTTCCTGCTGTGTTGTGAGCCTCCTGGCTTCTCCAAAAGGCGTGAAGCTAAAACCAGATTGTCTAATAATGTAAAATACAGTCAACTCATCTCTATGACTTTACCAGGAAAGCGCTACCTGAGCCCAGTTCTTTTCAACAGGGTCTAGATTTGCTTCCAGAAATAGCAGCTGCTCCTTTACCATTTCCCCTTTTGGCCACCTGCTTTCAAAGGCCTTTCCTTTTACAGGGTCTACACAAGTTCTGATGGGTTAGCATTCCTACATAAACAAACTACAGATACGTCTGGAAGCTGAGGCAGGAAAGGACCTTATAGTGAGATTTGTTGACCGACTGATTCCTGTCATGTCCTTCCATTGCCCAGGTACTAAGTAGCCATATTAGAATTTGGATCTCTCTTGGATTCATTTGGTCTCTAGATTTTCTTTTGCTTTTTCGTCTTTTTAAAAATTGATTTCTAACACCTGTGCCTGCCCAGTTGTCTTTTCACTGTCCAACTGCTAACATTTGATGAGTTTAGACTTGTAGCAAGGGGCAATGGCTAAACATTACATTAATGACTCTCAGGTTGTTGGTGGTTTAAGCCCACCTAGTGACTCCATGAGAGAAAGACATGACAATATGCTTCCATAAAGATTACAACTTATTAAACTCTACGGAGCAAGATTACTTTGGGTCCATTGGGTTGCCATGAGTCGACTCCACGGCACCTAATAACATCAACAAGCTTCCAGGAACACTTTTAGCCAGAAGCAAGAAAAGGCCCCTGCCCAATTCTGAAGTTTTAAGCAAGGGCATTGCTCTGGTAAATATCAGCCATGTCCCTTATGATGGGTTGAGAGTCTGGGAGGCAACAAGGTTGTGCCTGCCTGGAATCTACAATCCTGTTTTTCTACTCTACGTACCAGGACCCCAATTCCCAGCCTAGGCAGACCTGAACTTGCTTCTGGGACCAGCACAAATCTCCTCCCCGGTTCATCCTTCCACTAGTGGACCGTGGTGTGAGCATCTCTGGAACTGAGCTAAGGAAGCTAGGTACACAGGGCGTGGGTGGCCTGTGTGGGCTGGAGGGTCCTTATACGTGCAAACCCACCAGGTAGGAAACAGCCTGGGTGGGAAGGGACAGGCCAAGACTGGGACCAGCTTTCCCCATGTTCTCACGTCCCAGAGCAGAACTTCAGGAGGGTGACAATTCTAAGTTTAAACCTGACCTTCTAAGTCCTGATAAGGGTACACTTATCAAGGGAAGAGGAGTCGTGGTGTGGTGCTGTGGGTTAATGTGCCAGACTGCAAAGCCGTTTGAACTGTGAGGTCAGCAGTTCAAGCTCACCAGTCGCTCCTCGGAAACCCTATACAGGGTCGCTATGGGTCGGAACTGACTTAACGGTGCTTCACAACAACATCAAGGGGAGAGAAGAAAACCTAGGTTAGCAAAGGCAGAAAGTACACTTAGGCATTGGACACTTCACCCAGCCTCATCCTCAGAAGAAATGAGCCCGTATCCTGTGTTCAGTAAGTTCTAACAAGTGAGGCAGCTTGCTGGAACCCAGTTTTTGCCTACAGATCCCAGCTCTCCCTTACTAGCTGTGTGACTTGAGAAAAACTATGTACTCTCTCTGAGCCTCACTTTCCTCACCTGTAAAATGTGAACCCACCAGTGGTTCCACAGGAGAAAGATGAGGCTTTTGTACTCTGTAAAGAGGTAGAACCTCGGAAACCCTATACTGAGTCACTGTGAGTTGGAAACAATTCCACAGCACTTAATAACAACAATAAAATGTGAGGACAATAAATGAGATAAATTGTAAAGTGCTGAGCACAACAGTGTGCATGGAGTTATCATAGGGTCGCTGTTTGGGTGGCACAAATCAGGCCAGTGTGGCTAAGGCTTTTGCCCAATAACCAGCCAGACCTTTCTGATGGTTTGTTTTTGTTAAGTGCCACAAAGTCGAATCTGACTCATAGCGACCCTGTACAGTTTCCAAGGAGCGAATGGTGAGTTTGAACTGTCAACCTTGAGGTTCAAACCAACCTTGTGATCCAGTGCTTATGTTACAGAGCCACAGCAGGACTCCTTCTGATGTCAGTCACCAGTCTGTTAAGTGTTGTGTTGCTTGTCTCTTCCACATATGACTCCCACGTGGGCCCTGTGCTGGCTCATGGTTTAGGACTTTGGTGACTAACAAGTTAACAACTCTTAAGAGTTTCAGGTGTCTACAGAAGCATGGGGACCAGGGGTATGAAGTGGGTCACTCTGGGAAACAGCTGTGACTATACTTTCACGAACACTTAACAGTCCAATGCCCCCAGGAGAGAGGGCTGTGCAGTTAAACTGACCACTGAATGCTGTCTCTTCCAGGTGGGGGCAGCTGTGCTCTCTGCCTGCAGCTACTGCTTCCAGGGTTCCTTCTGGTGCTGACAGGAATAGTCCTTATGCTGGCATGTTGGATACTACCAAAATACAAAGCAAGTAAGTTCTTCAGGCCCTTTGCCATTTCCTTTGCCGTGGGTGATGGATGCAGAAAGCAAGGGCAGAGGTGGAGACAAGAGTTGAGGAGGAAGGGAAAGGGGAGTCAGAACTGGGATGGGAAAAGGAAGAGATGAGAAGGGTGAGGGTTGATGAAGTGGACTTCCTCAACAGTCCACCCCCAGCACTCATTTGGCAGGTAAAAGCCTTCTCTTGGTTTCAGGGGCATGTGACCTGTACAGTCAGTCATACCTTACACTTAGAAGGGTCCTGTGCTTGGTGTGATGTTCTGCCGTCACCTGGAAATGTTTCCATTTTGAACAAGAGGCCCCACATTTTCATTTTTGCATTGGTTACGTAGGCCATCCTGACGGCATGTCCCTCAGAGGTACTCGCTCACTGCCACCCAGTCGATTCTGCCTCATAGCGTCCCTGTGTGCAGTTTCCGAAGCTGTTCATCTTTACAGGAGCAGAAAGACTCATCTTTCTCCCGAGGAGCTGCTGGTGGGTTTGAACTGCCAACTTTATGATTAGCAGTCCAGTGCTTATCCTACAACACCATGCCAGCACTCCTCAAAGGCAAAGAGCCTTCTATTTTTCAGCACCCTCACGGAGTCCACCTACATCCATTTTCTATGACTGCCACAACAAAGTGCCACAGGCTGGGAGACTTGAAACCAGAAATGTATTGTCTCAGTGACACAGGCTACAAGTGGAAATCAAGATGAGAGCAGAAGCAGGCTCTCCCTGAAGGTTCTAGGGGGAGATCTCCCTTGGCCTCTTCCAGCTGCTGGTGGGTACCAGCAATCCTTGGCATTCTGTGGCTTACAGATACATCACTTGAGAATCTCCCATGGCTGTCTTCCCTCTGCCTCTCCCTGGTTCTGTAGTTCTTTTCCTCTTTTATAAGGACACCTGTCACATTGGACTAGGATCTACCCTACTCCAGTAGGACCTCGTGTAACTTACCTAATAGTATCTTCAAAGACCTGATTTCTAAACAAGATGATACTCAGAGGTACCAGAGGTTAGGACTTCAATGTGTCTTCTGGGGGGATGCAATTCAACCCATTCACCACCACTTATAGGAAGACAGTACATAAAGACAAGAGCATCGCTCCTCTCGACTTCACTTGAAGGGCTAGATCGGAGAAAACACATTTATACTCCTTAATGTCTTCAGCAGAAGTCTCGATTAATTCCTGCTCATTGGCAGAGGAGATGAGAAACATGTAGCTGAATTAATTTAATGTAATACTTCTGTACCAATTTATATAAGAAAAGCTATGAGATAATGTGCCCAAGTATCTTGAAGTACGCCTATGGAAAACGAGTATGCAAATAGCCATAGAAGCCAAGCCGGTAAGGGATCTGATTGTTTTTATTCTTCACCTCCCAGGACAACCTCTGGTTAAGAATTCACAGGTGCTTTTTCAGCTGGCATACAAGTGTGGGGGAACAGCTAGATTTGCATAAAAGACATTCTGCATCTTGTCACAGCCAGCTGAGGGATGCAGGGCAGACTCCTTCACCCTTCTGAGCACAACACACTGACCTGTGCAGTAGGACCCTGGGAGACATTGCCAGAACTGATGGGGGAATTTACATAAGTGTTAGGTTCCAATGTTTGCTCCATGTTTCAAAGTCCTAGTTGAGAGAAGCCAGGTTTTCAATTGACATGATTAAATTTATCTCTATTCCTTATGATGAGTTCTGTTGTGGCACTGGATTGCTTGCTAACCACAAGGTCAATAGTTCAAATCTGCCAACCACTCCTTGAAAACCCTATACAGGATTGCTATGAGTTGGAACCAACTCAATGGCACTTAACAGCAACCACTTTCTATGAAAAGCCTTGTTGTAAGATCTTGGGGTTAGCAATCCAGTTCTTATCCTACAGCACCACAGCAGGACTCCATGAGAAGCTTTGTTGTTATAAAGTGCTGTCGAGTGAGTGCTGACTCAGGTCACCCTGTACAGTGTTTCTGAGGAGTGGCTGGTAGGTTTCAACCACTGACATTGCAGTTCAAACTGACCTTGTGGTGTAGTACTTATTCCTACAGCGCCACACCAAGTAAAGCCTAGGTTCTTGTAAAAGTTAAATTAAATTTCTTTTTAGCCTAGGCTAGAAATAGTTCAGCTGGGTAATTCCACATCTCTTGAGGTGGCTACAAAATTGGTTAGACTGTTCTCTTCAGCAAAGGAAAGAAAATGTGTCTGGCCATCTCAAGAATGATCTGATCAGCAAACAACTTATTGTTGTTGTTAGGTACCATCGAGTCGGTACCGATTCATAGTGTCTTTATGCACAACAGAATGAAACACTGCTGGGTCCTGCGCCAACCTCCCAATCACAGTTAACGCCCGAGCCCATTGCTGCTGCCACTGTGCCAATCTATCTCATTGGGGGTCTTCCTCTTTTTCTCTGATCCCACTCCTTCTCCAGGGACTAGTGCCTTTTGATAATATGTCCAAAGAATGAGAGATGAAGTCTGGCCATCCTGGCTTCCAAAGAGCATTCTGGATGTACTTCTTCCAACACAGATTTGTTTATTCTTTTGGCAGTCCATGGTGCTTTTAATATTATCCTATAACACCATAACTCTTGTACTGTCTTCTTTATTCATTGTCCCACTTTCACGTGCATATAAGGTTACTGAAAATACCATGTCTTGGGTTTGTAGCACCTTAGCCCTCAAACTGACATCTTTGCCCAATGCAAGACGTTAATGTCTTGACTGCTGCTTCCTTGGGTATTGATGGTTGATTTGAGCAAAACAAAGTCTTTGACAACTTCAATCTTTTCTCCATTAATATGGTTGTTATTTTTTGGTCCAGTTGTGAGAATTTCTGTTTTCTTTACATTGAGGTGCAACCCATATCAAAGGCTGTGGTCTTTGATCTTCATAACTAAGTATTTTAACTCCTCTTTGCTTTCATCTGCATATCACAGGGTGCTAATGAGTCTTCCTCCAATCCTAATGCCATGGTCTTCTTCATATAATTCAGCTTCTCAAATTATTTGCTCAGCGTACAGATTGAATAAGTATGGTGAAAAAATATAACCTTGGTACACACCTTTCCTAATTTTAAATCATTCAGTGTTCCCTTGTTCTGTTTGAACAACTGATTCTTGGTCTGTGTACAGGTTCCTAGTGAGCAACACAATTAAGTGTTCCAGAATACTCATTTCCACAATGTTGTCCATAGCTTGTCAGGATACACACAATCCTTTGTGTATTAATAAAGCATAGATAAACATCCTTCTGGTATTCTCTACTTTCAGCCACAATACATCTGACGTCAACAGTGATATCCCTTGTTCCATATCCTCTTCTGAATCCAGATTGAAACTCTAGCAGTTCTCTGTCAATGTCCTGTAGCAGCTAGTTTTGAATTATTTTTAGCAAAATTTTATTTGCATGTGATATTAATGACATTATCCAATCATTTCTTCATTCCGTTGAGTTACCTCTCTTTGGAATGGGCACAAATATGGATCTCTTGGCCAAGTAGCTGTCTCCCAAATTTCTTGGTATAGATAAATAAGTGCCTTCAATGCTGCCTCAGTTTGTTGAAAGATTTCAATTTGTATTTCATCAATTCCCAGAGCTTTGTTCTTTGCCAATGTCTCCAGTGCATGTTGGTCGTCTTTCCTTCAGTATCAGTGGGTCTTAATCATATGCTACCACTTGAAATGGCTGAACAGCGACAATTTATTTTTGGTACAGTGACTGTGTAATCTTTCAATCTTTTTGATGCTTTCTGCATCATTCAATATTTTGTACATTGTTGTTGTTGTTAAGTGCCGTTGAGTCAATATTGCAAGTCAAGGCTTAAATTTTTTCCTCAGTTCCCTCAGCATGAGGAATGCTGAGTGTGTTCTTCCTTTTTGGGTTTCTAACTCCAGGCTGTTGCACATTTCTTTATAATATTTGACTGTCTTCTCAAGGTGCCCTTTGAAATTTTCTATTCAGCTCTTGTACCTCCTCACTTCTTCCTTTTGCTTTAGCATCTCTATGCTGGAGAGCAAGTTTCAGAGTCTCTTCTCACATCCATTTTGGTCCTTTCCTTCTTTCTTGTGTTCTTAATAACCTTTTGCTTTCTTTCTGTATGATGCTCTTGATGTCATTGCACAAGATGGGCTTCAGTCATTAGTGCCTTATGAATCAAATCTGTTCTTGATATAATCTCTAAATTCAGGTGGTATATGTTCAAGATGATATTTTGGCTCTCATAAGCTTATTTTAATTTTCTTCAGCCTGAACTTGCATATAAGCAAGAGATAGTCTTTTCCACAGTCTGCCCCTGGCCTGGTTTTGACTTATGATATGGAGCTTTTCCCACCATTTCTTTCCAGGTTGTCAGTTTTATTTCTGTGTATTTCATCTGGTGAGGTCCATATATACAATCCTTTTATGTTGTTTTAAAAAGGTATTTGCAATGAAGAAGTCATTGGTCATGCAATCTATCACCAAGGCCTTATCTTCCAATGACTGATCCTGACCCTTTGCTTTCAACTTTTGCATTCCAATCACTGGTAATTATCAATACATCTTGATTTTGTACATGATCAATTTCAGAGTGAAGAAGCTGTTATAATTCTTTCACCATCACTGGCTTTAGTGGTTGGTGCATAAATTTGAATAATAGTTGTATCGATTGTTCTTCCTAGTAGGCATATGGATCTATCCTATCAGAAAGTGTTGTACTTTAAGAAGGATCTTGAGTTGTTCTTTTTGATGATGTATGCGATACCATTCCTCTTCAGTTTGTAATTCCTGGCATACTAAACCATGTGATTATCAGATCTAAAGTGGCCAATACCAGTCCATTTCAGCTCACTAATTCCTAGAATATGGATCTTTATGTGTTCCATTTCATTTTTGACAACTTTCAATATTTTTAGATTCATACTTCCTGTATTCTGTGTTTTGATTATTATTGGATGTTTACAGCTGTTTCTCCTCATTTTGAGTTGTACCCCATCAGCAAATGAAGATCCTGAAAGTTTTGCTCTATTTGCGTCATCATGATCAACTCTACTTTGAAGAGGCAGCTCTTCCCCAGTCATACCTTCCAACCTGAGGGGCTCATCTTCTAACATGTTATCTGACAATATTCTGGTGCTCTTCATCATGTTCCAATATTCAATATTTTGGTGCTATCTGACAGTATTACACTGCTATTCATAAGGTTTTCAGTAACTAAATATTCAGAAGTAGTTTGTCTCTACTTCGTCCTAGTCTGTTTCAGTCTGGAAGCTCAGCTGAAACCTGTCTACCATGGGTGACAGACACTACTGGTATTTAAAATACTGGCGGCATAGCTTCTAGAATCACAGCAAAATGCAAGTCACCACAGTACGATAAACTGACAAATTAAATTAAATTTCTTATCAGCCTAGGTTAGAATAGTTTAACCGGGTAAATTATCCACATCTCTTGAAGAGATTAAAAAACTTTTTAAACCGTTCTCTTCCGCAAAGGAAAGAAAACCTATCTGGTCATCTCAAGCGTCACCTGGTCAGCAAAGGATGTTACTCATAGAGCACAGACAATAGACCCTCAGGGCCTGTGGGTTCTCAGACTCCTGATAAGTTCTCACTTATCTTCATCTGGCCACAGTTTCAGCTGCTAGAGTGAGTCACACTTTCTTTCAGAACTTTGAGGGTGTCTATACCTGGGCGAAGATGAACAATGTGGCTGAACTGATTTAGTTTACAAATTCTGTACCCATTCATGTAGGAAAAGCTTTGAGAGCGAATGTGCCCAGGGACTACAAAGAAACAACCAAGGAATTTACAGAATATGCAACTATCTGTGAAAAACAAACAGGTAAGGTGTTTTGATTGGTTTTCTTTTTTTTTTTTTTTTTTAAGGTAATACAAATGTTGCTCTTAAGTGAAGTGATGTTGAGTCAGTTCCAACTCATAGCGACCCTGTATTACCGCAGTCCTGGTGTGGCGCTGTGGGTTAATGCGCCAGACTGCAAAGCCAATTGAACTGCAAAGTCAGCAGTTCAAGCTCACCAGCTGCCCCTCGAAAACCCTATACAGGGTCGCTATGGGTCAGAACTGACTCGACGGCACTTAACAACAACAACAAAGGAGCGGGAATACAAATACATGGGTATAAAAAGTAAGACAAAAGGAATAGCTTGCAGTGATTCCCTCCCACCTTTGCTGCCAAGTCCTGCTCTCCAGAGGAGACCACCACGTTCTTGTAAACGTTCTACGTGCAAGCATCAAAACAACTGGTAGCATGTCATACATATGTTTCCCACACATTGATTTTCTCAAAAATCTATCTTGGAGATTTGAAAATATTTTAGAGTAATCTACACCATATTCCAGGGTCTTATATGTATATTTCTTAGAACAGACCTCACATCCTGCTTTATGATGAGACGACCCAGGACCTTGCTAACACCAAGAGCACTCCTACCTAATCAACATTGCCTCAGCACCAACCGTGTTCTGGATGCAGTGCTAAGCAATTCATGTGCATTGTCTAGTGCAAAAACCATTAACTCCCAATTTATGTCACTCCCATTTTACAGCATTTGTGCCACACTTGGAACCAAGACAGTATGTTTCAGCTCAACGTGGTAAGAACTTTCTGCAAAGTCCTAGTGGCTGAGCACCGTTACAAAGGCAGCTGATTAAGCCATTTCTTTCATCTGGTCAAAGATTTGAACTATTGGCCCAAGAACTTCTATTCCTTGTTTTTTTGCCCAGGTACCCACCAATCTCAGGAGCTACACTACGCTACCCCTATGTTCCAGACGGTGGCATTAGGAAAGCATGGTGAGCCACAGCTGTTGACATGAGACAAGTGGTCTTTGTGAGGTCACTGTACTACTTCTAGGCTCTAGGAGCCCAATGTTGGGCCGGATGGGAGTAGCATGCACATTCCAGGAAACCAATAGTAACCAAGACCACAGGGTCTAACAAATATCATCAGGGGATGAGTGGGTGTGGTTAGGAAAGTGACAATTAATGTAGAGAGGAAGATGCAGGGTCACCACTAAAACATTGCCCAAGAATAAATTATTTAACGTAGTCCTAAAAAAATGATTAAGTATTTGGCTCTATCAGGATACTCGCTACTTGACATAGGATTGTTTTTTATTTTTCAGTAGCCCCACTAGGTACTCATCCCAAGTTTTCTGAATGATTCCTCTCTTACCTTTCAGAAGTCTGTAAGGATTATACAGCGGAATGTGTATATTCTGAAGTCAACTTTAAATGAAAGCAATAAACTGCATTTCAAGGTAAGGTACTTTCCATAAAGATGATTTACATGAAAAAAAGAGGAAACAGGCTCAGTTTGGTTACTTCAAGTGAATCTCTCAGATTTAAACACTACTCCTTTTGACCATTTGGGTACATCCAATCCTGTGAAGCACTGGACTGCTTAACCACAAGGTTGGTGGTTCAAAGCCCCGGCTGCTCCTAGGAAACCTTATACACCATGAGTTAAACGTTAAACGCTATGAGTCAGAAATGACATCAGCAGTTCTGTCGTGTGGGACCCATTGGTAATGACTTTGACATATTTTTACTCTATTTAGCCATGGACTATTACCTCGATGCCCACATCATTTTAAAAAGGAAGGCTGCTCTCCATAAATGCATTCTGGAAGCACTGCAAGGACTATCTTTTAGGCTTCCATGCCACTATGCTCACTGAGAATTCAAAAGCAAAACTCACGTCTAAATTCTAGGAAGAAAGTAGGTGACCTTGAAAATATATCTGAAGAAAAGTGTTTGCAGTCACCGTAAGAAGTAAAAATCACCTCACAAGTACCCATTTATCATCCACTATGATTTTAATGTGTTCTCAGATGTTGTAAGGCTGCAAAATCATTTCTAGTTTGACTTTCATGGTCTTTCTCAGTCCTCGAGATTCAGTTAATGCCTAAGACTGCATTTCCTTCCCAGCGTTCTGTGGCGAGAACTCCCTGACTTGAACGCAGGAGGAGAGGGGAACAGAATTATGTCCAGACTGAATCTCTCATAGGAGATATTGTTGTTAAGAACAGTTGAGTTGGTTTTGACTCAGAATGACTCTCTATAGTGTTTCTGAGGAATAGCTGGTGGGTTTGAACTGCCAACCTTGTAGTTAGCAGTCCAATGCTTATCCTATAGCATCACACCAGGATTCCTATGTTATTGTTGTTAAGTGCTGACCCATAGTGACCCTGTATAGGGTTTCTGAGGAGCAGCTTGGTGAGCTTGAACTGCTGACCTTGAGGCGCAAACAGACTTTGCAGGTCCAGCGCATTAAGCCGCAGTGCCACACAGAAGTCCAGGACTCCTATAAGTCTAATCAAATCCAATAGGCAGATTCCAGACAGACTTTTTTATTCACTTGACCAAAATATCCCTACTCTGTTCTTCTTTGGGGATGTTGCTTGAACCTCTACCTAGAAAAATCGCTGCTGTCATTTCTCACAAGGATCCCTGGGAGAGTACACAGTCAGGCTGCTAACCTGGAGGCCAGCAATTTGAATCCACCAGTTGCTCTGCTGAAGAAAGACGAGGCTTTCTACTCCCATGAAGATTAACAGCTTTGAAAACACTGTGCAGGGTCGCTATGAGTCGAAATCGGCTTGACGGCACACCACCAACATTTATTACTCAACGCTGGGTTCACATCCTACCAGGTTGATATTAATTTGATTTCAAGGGAAATTTAGACTCGGATGGGTTAAGTGATTTCACGGAGTCACCCATAGCTTATTGGTGTTGTTAGCGCTGTTGAGTTGGTTTCGACTCACAATGACCCTGCTCCGAGGAACAGCTGGTGAGTTTGAATCAACGTGAAAGCTTAGAAAGTGGGATTACCCTGGGAGTTAAATCCTGGTAAAGACCAGCAAGGAGTCCTGGTGTGGCGCTGTAGGATAAGCACTGGACTGCTAGCCACAAGGTCGGTGATTCAAACCAACCAGCTGCTCCTCAGAAACCCTACATGGGGTCACCACTAGGAGTGGGAACTGACTCCACAACATTTAACAACAAAGAATATCAAAAACACTGGAGTTCCCTCTTCAGGTGGGAAGGGATATTGCACATATTTGTTGTCATGCAATTATAAATTCCTCCTTTGCCTGCCGATATCATTCAGGGGGGGAATCAGTATATTGCTGAGATTAAGAGCGTGGGGCTCAAAGTCAAGCAGACACGAACAGACCCTGGATAAATTATCTAGCCTCTCTGGGCCTCAATTTCCTCACTTGTAAAAAAATAAATATAAAAATGTGGTGTCGAAGCTTCAAAGAGCAATGTATTTGCTCCCAGCAAGGTATTTGGGAGCTGCTCCAGGTGTCTTATCCAGGACGTGATTGGATAGGGGACAAACCCTGTGTTCCCTGATGTTGTTAAGTGTTGTTGAGTCGGTTCTGACTCATAGTGACCCTGTACAGGGTTTCTGAAGAGCACCAGGTGGGCTTGAATCACTGACTTCTCAGTTAGCTATTGTTGTTAAGAGCTGTCGGGTCGGTTCTGACTCATAATGACCTTGTACAGGGTTTCCGAAGAGCACCAGGTGGGCTTGAATCACCGGCTTCTCCGTTAGCTGTTTTGTTAAGTACTGTCGGGTCAGTTCTGACTCGACATAGTGACCCTGTATAGGGCTTCTAAAGAGCACCTGCTGGGTTTGAATCTAACTTTTCAGTTAGCTGTTTTGTTAAGTACTGTCGGGTCAGTTCTGACTCGACATAGTGACCCTGTCTAGGGCTTCTAAAGAGCACCTGCTGGGTTTGAATCTGACTTCTCAGTTAGCTGTTGCTATTGTTAAGTGCTGTCAAGTTGGTTCTGATTCATAGCAACCCTATACAGGTGGTGAGCAGCTAGTGAATTTGAACCGCCAACCTTGCAGTTCAAATCAACCTTGAGGTCGAATGCTCACGCCACACCAGGACTCCACAGTCCAGTGCGTATCCTACAGCACCACAGGACCTATCCAGTCTTATATTCCACACCTTCCAGCCCAACACTCACTAGACCCACTTCCATACTTGCTCCTCTGTTCCCGGCAGAATGTATGACCAGACCTGCAGCCCTCTGAGTGAATAAGTTCTTTGCTCCCAAAGCAGAGGCTTTATGTGATTCCTCACTCAGGCTCTGCTGAGTCCTGGCCCTAAGTTGTTGATCTGGAGGTAACAGGGGGAGGCAGGGACTAATCTTAAAAAAGACAAGCAAGATAGTATTGAAACATCTGTTTCAGGTGTTCTCCCTTGGCAAGGGGGAAAGGGCAGAAGCTTTGGTTGGTCCAGAGGCTTAAGGAAATTATGGCTTTCAAGGTCTCAAATGTCTCCATCCCAAGTCCTACTTCTTTCCATGGGTGCCCTGAGTTCAGCACTGGAGAACTCGATCTGCTCGTCCTTCATAGTTGTACTATCCTTTTGATCCAATACAGAGTTTTCAGCTGCAAGAGAAAACGCTGAAAACGCTGTTAAACGCTGCCATGGAGGTTTTCTGGGTTTCATGGCATGCCTTGAATCGATCATCTGCCTTTTTTTTTTTTTTTTTTTGCAAAGCTTCTAAAGCAGTTAACAGAAACCAACCAACTCCACAATCTGTATAACACCATCGCCCCATACCTTTGAAGCGCTAATACTACTTATTGCCCGTCTATGCCACCTTCTCCACTGCAGATGAAAGTCTTAGTCATTGTGAAGTGACCACAGATTAGGTGAGGAACCTGGGAGGTGCAGTTTGCTGAAGGCTGGCTGGGCTAACTACTTCCATAAGATTATAGCCAAGAAAACCTAAGAAGCCCTTGGACTCTGTAAGGCCTGGGGCCCACTTGATGACAACTCATCACAGCAACTCTGGTAGCGTAGTGGTTACGAATCGGGCTGCGAACCGCAAGGTCAGCAGTTTGAAACTACCAGCTGTTCCACGGGAGAAAGATGAGGCTTTCTACTCCCGTAAAGATTTACAGCCTTGGAAACCCTGTACAGGGTCGCTATGACTCGGAACCTAATAACAACATTACAGTAACAGCATAATAAGGGTTATCACCATCCCACTACCACTTACCACCAGCAATAGATCCTGGTTGCTGCTGTCTGTCCAGTGAGAATTCCCAGGGGTAGCTTCCTAGAGTCTTCTCGAGGTTCTGTCTTGTCCTGGGCTGGTTCTGAAAGCAGAACTTCAGATAAAGTCTTCAGTGCAAGTCATCTATGTGGGAGGTGACCCCAGACGTATTGTTCTTGTGTGCTGCCTAGTTGATTCTAAGTCATAGTGACGTTAAAAGGACAGAGCAGAACTGCCCCATAATGCTTCCTAGGTTATCAATCTTCACTGAAGCAGATAGCCACATCTTTCTCCTTTGGAGCACCTGGTGAGTTTGAACAACTGACCTTTTGCTTAACCACTGTGCTACCAGGGCTCTGAGGGTTAGCCAAGGTGTTAATTCCCTACTCTAGGCTGTGCCTGTGGGCATTCCAAGTAAGTTTCCACTGATGTCAACTCCTGGCACTTTTACTCAAGTGCTGCTGAGTCGATTCCGACCCATAGCGACCCTGTATAGGGTTTCCGAGGAGCAGCTGATGAGCTTGAACCACCGACCTTACAGTTCAAACGGCCACGGCTTTGCAGTCTGGCACATTAACCCACAGCGCCACACCAGGACTCCACTTTACATACCCAAAAATGCCCCAATTTCGCTACACCCTTGGCATTCTCTGTCATTTTAATTTTAAATATTTTTTGTGGATTACTGGTTTCTCCCACTATCTGAAAGTAGAGCATTCCTATGAAATCTTGCATAAGCCACAACAGAATAAAGCAAAGAAACAATTACCACTAATTTATATGG